ACATTCAGCTAAGTTATATATAATATAAATAAGCATTGTTAGCTGCTGGTACTTCTGTTAGGGATGGTTAATTCCAGATGTAAAAGTGACCTCAATGCAATTTACATAATTTACATAAATGCATCTCAAAAGAAAAATATTCATTTTCCTGGCATGTTAAATCAAGCCTTTTAAACACTTGCTGAGAAACTTTATTGCAATGTGTTGTTAATAGTTAGGGAAGTTTGAATCTTGTGATAAATGTATCAAAAATTCTTTAGATGCTGCTGTGCCTTTATCATGAAGTACATTAATTTCTCTGGTAAAAATAGCTCTAAAGTTTGTTTTCATCTAATTGGTAACCTGAATTTATATCTGGCATGAGTTCACTGTGGTAATATTAACATGTAAATTCAGTATATTTTGAGACAGTATTCTTTTGCTATTCAGTAATTTTGGTTGACGATTTTAACAAAAACACTTCCCACTGTAATTTCAAATTGTTTCTAAATTGATTTTGTGCTGCTTTGTTAGGACAGATTTATTTTGGATGTACCATTATAATAGGAATTCTATATGTATCTTATACTATGACCTTCCAAAATTTTATTTTCATAATTACTTTTGTGGCTTTGAATATTGTTTTTAAAAGGCCCAAATGAAAGCTTGTTAACCAACTGGGTAAATATTTGTGGTCACCTAAGCGTTTTACATCAGAGAGCAGTACAGTGTAGTCAGTCAGCTTTCCTTTCAGAGATCCATTGAGTAACACTTCTCAAACAGGAAATCGTTCTTTTAGAAATGTGGACACACAGGTTTTAGTATTATCATAGTTTACACAGTTACTTAGATCAGATTCTTGACTGCTACTTTTCTCAGTTTCTTAAGCTTGAATTGTCATAGACGGTTACAGCAGTTCAGATGCCTTTTGAAAGTAATGTAACTGAAGATTGAGCATATGACTAAACTTTATATCTGTTCTGAAATAATAATGAAGATTATACATACTTACCCATCATATCTGACTTAAAAGATTAAATAGAAAGGTTTATAGGAAAGGTTATTGGTTGGGAATGGAGCCAGAGGAGTGTGGGGGAAATAGTGTGCGTTTCAATGGCGTAATGCACAGATACATTTGGGGGGATTGGATGTATTATGTAACTGTGATTTGAGTTGTGTAATATGTTGAATACATTCATTCAGCTTCCATTAATTCCTTTTTAAAATTCATTCTGATCTTTATTCATTGTTGCATGATTGCAAATGTTTAAAACATTGCAAGATGTTAACACAGAGTAATGTAATGGTTTTTGTAACCAGTTTCCTTCTATGTGCATGTAACTTGGATTTCTCAAATATACTTGGTGACTTATCAGTGACATCAGTGACTTATCAGTGACATTTATTCAACTTTTTGACCTATAGAAATGTGATACCTACTTGATAGCTCAACTGTAACCAGCTAGTTTTGTAAATTTGTAATATTTATCTACTAAGTTAGAGAAGCCTCGTTAATATACAGTTGATTGTGTGGGGGGCAGTCTTATTATCACTATGTATCTGATGGTTTTAAAAACTAAATTTTCTAGAGCAATAAAGTAACTACAATGTTAAGTAAACAATAAAAAGAAACTCAGGCAGGATGCTCTTTGACATTGGTTTTAGCAATATTTTGGGGGGGATAAATCTCCTTAGGAAAGGGAAACAAAAGCAAAAATAAACAAATGGGACTACATCAAACTTAAAAGCTTTTGCACAGTGAAGGAAACTGTCAACAAAATTAAAAGGCCTCATACTGAATGGGAGAAGATATTTGCAAGCAAAATATTCATTAAGGGGTTAAGATCCAAAATATACAAAGAGCTCATTCAACTCAACATCAAAAAAAGAAACAACCCAATTAAAAATGGGCAAAGAACCTGAATAGACATTTTTCCAAAGAAGATATACAGATGGCCAACAGGCACGTGAAAAAATGCCCAATATCACTAATTATCAGGGAAATGTAAATTAAAACCACGAGCTGTCAACTTCACACCTGTCAGAATGCCTATTATCCAAAAGACAACAAATACCAAGTGTTGGCAAAGATGTAGAGAAAAGGGAACCCTTATGCATTGTTTACAGGAATGTAAATTGGTGCAGTCACTATGGAAAACAGTATGGAGATTACTCAAAAAATTAAAAATAGCACTACCATATGACCCAGAAATTCCACTCCTTGCTTTTTATTCAAAGAAAACAAAAACACTAGTTTGAAAAGATATATGCATTGCAGTATTATGTACATTAGCAAAGATATTAAAGCAACCTATGTCCTCATCGATAAATGAATGGATAAAGAAGATGTGGTAAACACACACACACATAAACACACACAATGGAACATTACTCAGCCTTAAAAAAGAATTAAATCTTGCTATTTGTGACAACATGGAGAGACCTAGAGGGAATATGTTAAGTGAAATAAGTCAAACAGAGAAAGACAAATGCCATATGATTTCACTTACATATGAAATCTAAAAATAATCACAAATGGACAAATGTAACAAAACAGAAACAAAGTTATAGATACCAAGAACAGAGGGGAGGGGGTGATGAGAGAACTAGGTGAGGGAGATTAAGAGGTACAAACTTCCATGTATAAAATAAATGTCACAGGTATGAAATATACAGTGTGGGGAATTTGTCAGTCATGATATCATATGTTTATATGATGATAGATGGTAATTAGACTTATCATGGTCGTTTTGAAATATATGGAAATACTGAATCACTATGTTGTGCACAAGGAACTCACGTAGTGTTGTACATCAATTATACTTCAAAAACAAACAACCTCATAGAAAAAGAGACAATATTTGTGCTTTTCAGAGGTAGGAAGTAGAAAAAGTGGGAATTGGATAAAAGTGGTCAAGTTACAAACTTCTAGTTATAAGAAAGTATGTACTAGGGATGTAATGTATAACATGGTTAATATAATGAACACGGCTGTATGTTATGTATGAAAGTTGTTAAGAGAGTAAGTCCCAAGAAAAAAATTTTTTTCTTTCTTATTTTGTATCTATATGAGATGATGGAAGTTCACTAAACTTACTGTTGTAATCCTTTTATGATGTATCTAAGTCAAATCATTATGCTGTATACCTTAAAATTATACAGTGCTGTATGTCAATTATATCTCAGTAAAACTGGAAAAAGGTTCTATAATACTGTGGCAGGGATAAAGAAATGAGTCACTGGAATAGAATAGAGATCCCAGAAAATTGTATACTTTGGAACATATTTCAATTTATCTATCAATTTATATTTCATACAGAATAGGAGTAAAGAAACTATTCAGATTTGATATGTATGTATTATGCATGTATAATGTATTAAATAAAACATGTATTGTATATATATGCATGCATTACTTATGTTATAGTTTATGCACATATGTATACAAATACATATAAAACAATGGAAACATTTAAAAAATGGGTGTGTATGTGTGAAAAATGGTAACATTTCACATTAATTGGGAAAGGATCAACTATTTAATACATGACAGTTTCCCAATGTTTACCACTGTAAAAAAAAAAAAAATCCCACTTCATTTAGACATAAAAATAAATTTCAGGTGAAAAAATGATCTAAAGGTTAAATAACAATAATTTCAATCTTTTAAAAAGAAAATGTGGGAACTATACAACATTTTTGTTGCAAGAATTTCTTGACAAAGCACAAACCAACAAATCATGGCACTGGGTAGGTGCTCAAATGTCTATTTAAGAAATTAAAAGATAGATCATATGTTCACATTAAAATTCTTAAAATCTTTTATGATTAAAATATTATTTTCAAAGTTAAAAGAAAAGCCATAGTCCACAGAATACATTTTTAATAAACCTAAGCAATGCAATTAAAAAAAAAAACTAAAAATTGGCAAAGGGTTGAGGCAACTCAGAATTAGAAAGCCAAATGGTTAACAAATGTTTTTAAAAAATGTTTTCTTGAGTAATCAGAAAATTATAAATTGAAACCAATGAGATACATTGAACACTATTTGGATTCAAAAGACATTTCAAAAATGACAGCATCAAGTGTTATCCACCATGTGGAGAAATGAGAATTCAGACTCTTGAGGGGAGTGTAAGTGATTCTGCCACTTCAGAGACCTCACTGCAGAGTTCTGTTCCCTGTGGAACCTCACAGAAAACTGACATCAGTTACGAGACCTCAGGTGCAGGTCCTCAGACTGCATTTCTTCAGCCCGTGTTCACTTGTTAATCAACATTAAGTCTAAGGAAGCACTCTCCCTTACTGTTTCCTCAATATTCTTAGAGATGAAGTCACCAGCAAGGCAAATCAAGTATTTAACACACACTCTACTTTTAGTAAAATCAGAATCTAAGCAGATGTCCAGAGACTTGAAGTTTCTAATCATTATTATATTTCACAGCCTTACAACATGTGTGGTTTTTATTATGAAGTAATTATCCATACTATTTATTGCTTATTCTAAGACAAGGAAGGTGTTTAAGATCGACCTCATGTGTATCCTGATTCATGGTTTCAAGACAATCCGTCATCTAAAAATAATTCCCTAAAGAACGTGTTGCTCTTCAGATTTTAAAAAATTCCTGAATTGCAGACAAGAAAATATTTCTTGGCTTTTTTCAAACTCATGCCTTCTTTTGATAAAAGAGGGAAAAAAACATTAATGTCTTATAATTTGAGGTTTCAAAATAAATAAGACTAAAAATAAATCGGATCTGTTAGACAAGAAACACTGCTTTGATTTCAAACTATACCTTTCACAAAATTCTAATATGGTCTCTCAGGATATGTTACAAGAACCAGGTGTTAAATAAAGAATGAGGTGCTTGGCAAACAACAAAGTATGACCTTAGGATAAGTCATTGTCTGTGTTTAAAACATATATTTTAAAATATTTCCATATGTATGAAAGTCTGAAGCATTACATATAATTTTTTATAGCTAGTTTATTGAAAGAGTCAGTAACTTAGTTATCATACCTGTGGACACAAGTTTTCCAGGTGATTGGCTGCAACTTTGACAATCTTAATTCCATCTTCATTTGTTGACATGGAACAAGCAAGATTTGCCACCTTAAATACAATATAAAACAATGGAAATTATCTCAGATTATGAAGGAAATGAAGAAACATTTGTAATCCTAGACAAGTAAGAGTATGTACATGTTCATTGAAAATCTCAAAGACAAACAACAGCATTTTCATAAATGTCACTGGTATCTGCTTTATGGGAGCATTCAGATAATCTATTGATATTAAATACAACAAAGGGGCATGGAAAATCATTTAAAGCCAAAAGGAAGACTGGTGAGTGAATTAGTAAACCCTGTACAGTCTCCTGGTATCAACACCTAACCCATAATAAGATGCTAACTATTATGGTTTCCTATGGGACTGAAAAAAAAGTTTACTTATGGATTGAATGCTGATAGATTCTTGGAATCTCATATGATTGTGGTTTATTTTAGGTTTGTAATTGGTTTATTATTTCCCAGAGGTCTACTATGCATACTTAAGTTGCATTAAGCATGACTGTATCTTTATTCATGTTTTATTCAGCATCAAATATGCTGCAAAGCTGGACAAATACAAGATAATTGAATTCTTCTTCTTGTTCTTGATTTTCTACTACAACTTCGTAGGCACTATTTGACATTCGAGCAGTCAATGTGATTCAAGCCCTTAGTAATACCCATATTCTTTTATACATTATTGCTTTTTAAACTCACACTCTTTTCCAGGGAAATGGGTGCCCTTTTAAATAACTACATTCACGTCCATTACCTAAGTCCAATGTTTACAAATAATTTCTTTATACCATGAATGAGTCATGAGAAAGATCATGGAATTCCTTTCTTTTCCTTTGAACCTCACTCTTATTCAACATTCCCCTTGTTAACAGGTGAGTATTCATGTACAGAGGCAATGTTTTCTCTAATCTACAAAATATGTTGTTGTCTTCATTACTGCAAAGAGATTGCTTTTCTAACAATCACTTTCCGAACATCTCTGTTAGTTATTATATACTTTAGCACATGGCAGGTTTTACTGATCAAATCCAAAATGCATTCAGTTGCAGAGAAACCACACTTAAACTGCATGCAGTGGAAGCGAACAACAAACATATTCTTGGATGACTATTTGTAGAGTACCAAACTGTTACTTACGTGGATTTGCAGCCTTTGCTTTTTTTATAGCATTACTTTAAATATGTCAACAGTGAAATAACTCCATGGTTTGCATTTACATATAATGAAATAGCAGCCATACATTATTTAACTGGGGAACGGCATTGTTCACTTTATTAATATACATGGAAATGGCTTACTTGAAAAGGTCTTTTGTTGGCTTGAAGGTCACAATGCCTCAACTTTCATATCTGACACATAATTAGCACATTTGTGAATTATTTGAAAAGGGCAGCTGTTTCTTTGCCCCTCTCCCCCACTCCTAAAGCCCCACTCACAGAAAGTAAAATTCAGCAGTCTAACTGCTTTAATATGTCTCATAATAATATGCACTGCACTTACAGAAAATAGCTATCTGTAAATTTGAGCACTCTTTGTTTTAAGTAAAAATTTTAAATTATTGCCTCAATCTTTTGGTCAAAGCAGATGAATGTTGATTAATCCAAAGTTTAAAATTACAGAAAGGTACTCTATATAGGCACTCTTTTTTTAAAAAAAGTTGTTTTATATCGGAGCATAGCTGATTAACAATGTTGTGTTAGTTTCAGCTGTACAGCAAAAGGATTCAGTTATATATGTTATCTATTCTTTTCCAAATTCTTTTCCCATTTAGGTTATTATTACAGGATATTGAGCAGAGCTCCCTGTGCTATACAGTAGGTCCTTGTTGGTTATATATTTTAAATATAGTAGTGTGTACATGTCAATCCCAAACTCCCAATCTATCCCGAACAACCCAATCAAAAAAATGGGCAGAAGACCTAAACAGACATTTCTCCAAAGAAACAGACATACAGATGGCCAAGAGGCACATGAAAAGATGCTCAACATCACTAATTATTACAGAAATGCAAATCAAAACTACAATGAGATATCACCTCACAATAGTCAGAATGGCCATCATCAAAAATTGTACAAACAATAAATGCTGGAGAGGGTGTGGAGAAAAGGGAACTCTCCTTCACTGTTGGTGGGAATGCAAATTGGTTCAGCCACTATGGAGAACGGCATGGTGGTTCCTTAAGAACCTAAAAATAGAGCTACTATATGACCCAGCAATCCCACTCCTGGGCATATATCCAGAGAAAACCATAATCCGAAAGCATACATGCACCCAATGTTCACTGCAGAGCTATTTATAACAGTCAAGACATGGAAGCAACTTAAATGTCCATCAACAGAGGAATGGATAAAGAAGATGTGGTACATATACACAATGGACTATTACTCGGCCATTAAAAAGAATGAAATAATGTCATTTGCAGCAATATGGATGGACCTGGAGATTATCATACTAAGTGAAGTCAGACAGAGAAAGACAACTATCATACGATCTTGCTTATATGTGGAATCTAAAAAAAAAAGATACAAATGAACTTATTTACAAAACAGACTCACAGACTTAGAGGTTACCAGGAGGAAGGGTGGGGACACTCTTTTACTTTATTTTTAATGTTTCATCTTTACCTTTTTTCCCTTTTAAAAACACATTCTTCTTCTGGACATTTTCTGGTCTCCATGTTTATCATAGCCAATTCAGTGACTAATGTTAACATAAAAATCATCCTAAACACAAAGCTTCTGTTTATATTAGCAGACTTAAGTCTTACAAAAGTCTCAACTGAAAATACAGCACATCTCAAAGTTTTCTACTCAATTAATCATTATATTAACTCTCTTTCTGTCTTCCTTTATTCAGACATACCTAAACTTCTCCTTACCAGAACTGTTCTATGTCAGGTAAACTTTCTAGGTAACCAAGTACTATTTCCAGATTAAGGCATGTGGAGTTTTAGTGATATTTTATACAAACAAATTGAATTTATAGGATAGCTAGTATTCTTCAACCAAATAGAGAAAGTTATGTGATAAAAATCACTTTACATTTCTAATTTGAGTGATTTGTGACATATTTTCTAAGTCACATGAATGTATAAATGAAAGCCAAATTTCTTCTAACAATATTCCTAAGTTCTGTGTGTCTCTTTAGGCAGTCAGGTATGTTCCCCAGCATAGCATGAAGGCAACTCCCTACTGGTCAAAGAAAACAGCATGCGAACAAAATATTTTATAAAACAGTTTGAGATATTTGGACATCTGACAGCTTTTATATATCTAACTTTGACAGTGTTTCAAAAGTCTGTGTAAAGTTTCATTATTCAAGAGATCCTTGTGAAAAATTTTTGCCCACTAAGGAAAACTGTTCACAGAGAGGTTTTGGATACAAATAGATCTGGGTTTTAACTCAATTCCCACAATTAATAAAATTTCTGACCATGGGCAAAATGTTAACATCTCTGAGATCATTCTGTCACCTATAAAATGGGTATGATAGTATCAATCTCACTGGAGTACTTTGAGGATTAAATGAGATAGTTTGTGAAGATAACCTGATACCAGGTAGCCCTGACCATGTATCAATTTCCTTCCAGCTCATCTCCCTTCTATTAATGGGGGGTGGGAAAGAACATTCACTCTCTCAAGAGGTTTTATAGAATTAAAACTTTAGGAGTCTAAAGAAATTTGACAAAATGTCTAATCAAACAGCCACAAATTCAAATGTTTACAGGACTCATGCAGGGAACACAAACAGAGCGTCTAGATATAACAGTGGTTAGGGTGCACGGTGGTGCCCCAGACAAACATGAGTGTGTATGCCCTGCCTAAAGGCATTAGGCCTCATTAAAACAAGTTGAAATACTAGGAAAAACTCAATTCCTTAACCAAGCTAACAGTCTGTTGTCTTACTTTAGTTCATAGTTCACCAACTTGTGACCTCTGACCTCATTCTCTAATCCTCTATTGTATAAATAGGAAAACAAAGTCAGAGAAAAGAAACATACTCAAACTATCCAAGGACAGGAAGACTATTAATCAAGGCTATGTGTGTGCTATTTATGCCATCCTGAATTAAAGCACTGAAAAGTTTCCTGCATTGAAATGACTGACCAGACTTTTTATTGATATTGTGCTATATCCTTAGCCAAGGCCAAGAAAATCAGAGCCTAAATTACCCTAAATAAATGAGACCAAGCGCACTCAGGTAAATTCACAAGTTTATTAAAAAGACAAGGCCAGGGTTTCCCTGGTGGCGCAGTGGTTGAGAGTCCTCCTGCCGATGCAGGGGACACGGGTTCGTGCCCTGGTCCGGGAGGATCCCACATGCCGCGGAGTGGCTGAGCCCGTGAGCCCTGGCCGCTGAGCCTGCGCATCTGGAGCCTGTGCTCCGCAATGGGAGAGGCCACAACAGTGAGAGCCCCACTTACCGCAAAAAAAAAAAAAAAAAAAGACAAGGCCAGGACACAACGTTCTTTCATTTTTACAAAAGATTAAGCTATATCACTAAAATAAGTGCTGATACTCTAATAATTGCAAAAGTCAAATTTTAAAAATATTTCAGACAGGGACATGTTTTCATGTTACTCAGAGGGGAGTGATTTTTTAACATCAGCACCTCACTTGTGAGCCTCTTTCCTTCTCACCAGTCCTTGTGACCTCTAAGATGTATATCTCATTCTAAATGCTTTAAACTTGAATTTACTCCCCTTTCAGGTCTATTTAAAAAAAAGTTGTAGACCAAAAAGCCTGACCAGACAATTCTTGAACTAATTCACATTTGTTACCAACTTGTTGGTGTTTGTTCTCCTCTTCCTGATTCCTAGTTCAGTTTCTGTATACCAATTTTGAATGTCCCTGCCATCGTTTCTATTTGCTGGACTTTCCCTTCACCTGGCATAGAACATGGTACCTACCTCTCACCCCCTCACCCGTGTTCTGAAGTGAGAAATTCCCTGCTCTGGAACCTGGCCTCATAAAAACCCTGCCAGCTAGGCCAGTTCCATCAAGGTCAGGGAGTTGGCCATACTTGACCCCCCTCACCACCAA